GGAGTCGAGGAGAGAGCAGCGGCCCGAGGACTTCAGGGTCACCATTGTGTCCGCCCGGAACGTGCGCGGGGCGGACATCCTGGGGGGCAAGTCGGACCCCTACTGCGTCTGCGAGGCCGGCGCTCTCCTCTCCTGCCGGAGCCAGCGCGGGGAGGAGGAAGGGGGCGTCGCGAGAGGGGGGCTGGGCGGCGTCTGCGGGCTGGCGGCGATGCACGGCGGCGCCGCCGTCTCTCGTCCCCGCCCCGTGGTCCCATAGGGTGAGCTGCCGTGGTGGCAGCCGGGGGAGGGGGGCATGTCGCAATGGGATTCAGTCGGGCCTGTCCCTCTACAGGAGGAATATCCAGAAATAGTCAAAAATAGTACAGGAACGATTTTTCGAGAATTTTTGATTAATTTTTGATGCATAGGTGTGTGTGTGTGTGTATCTATATATGTGTATATGTAGATTCTTCCAAAATCCGCCTATAGGAGGACATGCCACACCTAACAATAGGAAGAGAGGAGGGATGGGAAAGGGAGGAAAGAATGTATGCCGGGGGGGGAGAGACGGGATGGAGGGAGACGGGGGACGGGGAGAGAAGGGGGAGAGGCGGGGAGGGGGAGGGCAGAGGGAGAGTGAGGAGGGGGGGCGGGGGAGGGCGGGGGAGGAGGGAAGGAAGGAGGAGGGAAGAGTGCTGGAGTGGGGAGGAGGGAAGGAGGAAGGAAGAGTGATGGAGTGGGGAGGGTGGTGGAGGAGGGAAGGAGGGAGGAGGGAAGAGTGATGGAGTGGGGAGGGGCGAAGCGGGGGGAGGGCTGAAGCCGCTGGCCGTGCCCGTGCGGCCAGCGTAGGCAGCGGGGGTGAGGCAGAGGGGGCTGGAACTGGGGAAGTTGGGCGGAGGAGTTGGGAGGGGGAGGAATATTCAGTGCCGTTTTTAATACATGCTCCGCGTGCGGATCATGTATTCAACATGCAGGGATTTAGTACTACAAACAAAGATGAGTTCATGCATACATTTAATCATACATTGATCATGTTTTGACACATCATTTTTTTTACAATCCAATGTAATAAGACTGCCCTGTAATACCTTTTTTGATGACGACGGTATTGCTGATACGGAGGAGGGGAGACGAGGATGATGGTGTGAGGGTGCTGGTGGCTGTCATGGTGACTGTGCCACCGCCGCCGCCGATGATGATGATGATGATGATGATGATGATGATGATGATGATGATGATGATGATGATGATGAGGATGAGGATGAGGATGAGGATGATGTTGATGGTGATGATGGTAATGATGCTGCTGCTGATGATAATGATGCTGATGCTGGTGGTGATATTATGATTATGCTGCTGATGATGGCGATTATGATGCTGCTGCTGATGCTGATGATGATGTTGATGATGGGACTAATGCAAATGCTGATGCAGAGGACGAAGATACTGAGGCTGAACATGACGATGATGATGTTGATGCTGATGCTTCAGCTGATGATGCTGGTGATGCTGATAACGATGATGGTGCTGCTGCTGCTGCTGCTGATGATGATGATGATGATGATGTTGATGATGATTTTGATGATGATGGCGATGGTGGTGGTGATGATGGTACCGATCGCGCGGACGATTGTGATGAAACTTGTTACGAGGATGGTGACGATGGTGACGGCTATAGTGATGATGATGATGATGATGATGATGATGATGATGATGATGATGATGATGATGATGATGATGATAATGATGATGATGATGATGATGATGATGATGATGATGATGATGATGATGATGATGATGATGATGATGATGATGATGATGATGATGATGATGATGATGATGATGATGATGATGATGATGATGATGATGCTGATGCTGATGATGATGATGATGATGATGATGATGATGATGATGCTGATGCTGATGAGATGATGATGTGATGATGATGATGATGATGATGAGGATGAGGATGATGATGATGATGATGATGATGATGATGATGATGATGATGATGATGATGATGATGATGATGATGATGATGATGATGATGATGATGATGATGATGATGATGATGATGATGGTGATGATGATGATGATGATGATGATGATGATGATGATGATGATGATGATGATGATGATGATGATGATTGATGATGATGATGATGATTGATGATGATGATGATGATGATGATGATGATGATGATGATGATGATGATGATGATGATGATGATGATGATGATGAATGATGTTGATGATGATGATGATGATGATGCGATGATGATGAGGAGGAGGAGGAGAGGAGGAGGAGGAGAGGAGGAGGAGGAGGAGGAGGAGGAGGAGGAGGAGGAGGAGGAGGAGGAGGAGGAGGACACTTTGTGGGATTAGCGTGCGAGGCCTCGTGCACAGGTCTAATGCCTCCCCGCGCGCTTCGATCGTGCAGGGTATCTGAGAGAGGATAAAGCAGATCGGCCCATGCCAGACCAGTGGCCTCTCTACGAGGGTGAAGGCCCGTGCACACAGTTTCTTCTGCCGACCGGGTGACGTCATTGTAGCGATTACCAGCCTGAAGTTTATCAGTATCCTATGATTGGCAGAACCTTATTCCGATGACGATTTTGAGCATTTCCTCGGCTTCTTCAGGGCGCATTCCTAAGATGGTCATCGCCTTGGGGCTTGTCAATCTCAGGGATAGGGATACGCTCGAGGCTGGTTAATGGAGCGCAAGCTAGTGTGATTCCCAACGGACGTTGCAGGTGGGGAGCTGCGCAGGGCGAGCTGGCGTGCAGAGGAAAGCGCCCGCAACATGTCTTGCCAGTTCGCATGCCGATTTGCCGTAAGCAGTTGTCTAGGCCACCCAGATGGGGTCCGAATAGATGCGGTCGGAGGGTCGCGCCGCATCGCAGATGCATCGGCGATGCGGCTCGATGTGGAGCCCGATTTTCTCCACGCCGACGTCGCCAATGCATCGCCAACGTCGCCGATGCATCGCCGATGCATCGCTGATGCTGTGGTGATGGATCGACGATTCGGCGCGATCCGCCGACTCCATCTATTCCGACCCCACTTGGGAGGCCTTTACGTTGGCCATCCCAGACAAGGACAAACAGCAGGAACAGTCAAACACGGACGCTCCATGACAAACATCTTGGGGCCTCGAGGGAACATCTAAGCAGCTACCCTGATCCATTTGGATTCTCTATTGTGCCATCATGGCCGCAATCTTGAGGCATCTCAGCCCACCGTGGAATCATCTAGGGCCATTTTGGGCCATCTTGTGGCCTTCTTGGACCACCTTGTGGCCTTATAGGGCCGTCTTGGGTTGTCTTGTGGGCATTTTGGAAGCCAATCGGCATCGCTGATGGGACACGTGAGCACCTACCCACCCCACTCAATATTGGCTAGCGAATGAGCTAGCAAGCGATTGAGCCAGTTGCTTTCCAAGTATCCGAAAGAGCGCTTTCTGCCACTACTGGCAAGTCCCTCGAACGGGTGGGGGTGGTAAAACAGCCTCCCGCTCCGAACGGGGGGGGAAGGGTTGAGAGGACCTCCCCTGGTTCAGACCCGGGTGGGGGGGAACCCATCCCCCGGGTGGAGGGGAACCCATTGCAGCGGGATCCAGGCCTCGTAGGATTGATTCTTTTTAGAGTTGGATCTAGCCGTTGCAGGCTGGATCGAGAGGGTTTCTCCTCCCCTTCCCCCCCGGGTTCCCTGGGAAGGACGGGAGATTCCCCTCCCCCTCCCCCCCGCGCGCCCTCATGTTTCCTGGAGGGGGGGGGGGTTCTCCAGTCAAGCGATGGTAGATCGCGCTGCCTCAAATACCGTACACGGTACAGGGCCCGCTGGGGACCCGCCGGATTCTTGGCGCTTCGTGTATTCCCCACCAGATTACCTCTGGCGCCTGGCGCGACAAGGTACAATTCGTTTGCCTTCCTGGTGGTCTCGCCCTTGGGGTGGTTGCATTTCAGCCGCCTGGCACACCCAGCACCTCTTGCAGCTCTGCCTTCAGTCCCCGGCGTTGCTCGGCGTCCCTCGGCGGCAGCTCCGGCAGCCGTTAGTTCGCGCGCTTAGGTAATTAGGTTTGGCTCGTAGCCTAGGCTGACTTGGGACGCCGCCTGCGCTTTCGTTTGTGGCCGCGACGAAAAAGTATTCCCCACCAGCCCATGCAGCAACACTGCCCAGGGGAGTTGTTGGGAGCAGGAGCGTAGATAGTTACACACTGAAGCGAGCGAGGCCAACAAGGGCAAACTTGGAGACCTTTGGTGGGAACTGTTGGAGGCCTCTTGGGGCCACGTTGTAGCTTTGTGGGGTCCTTTTGGGAGCCTTTCATGCGCTCTTTGGGCCCTCCTAGGGGTTCTCTTCAAGGCCTCGGGGGTCGTCTTGAAGCCATCATGAAGACCATCGATCAAACATGCGGGAGTTCTCGATTTCTCGCCTGTTGGCGCCTTCTTCGGACGCCACTGGGGCGCTCTCGGGGGCCCTCTTGGGGCTCTCTAGGGTAGTCTTGGAGCCATCAAGAGGTTTCATCATATGCCTATCGGAAGCGAAAGTGTACGAAGGCAAAGCACATGCACATATTTCAGTATTTGAACGGTTTTGGCCTCTCGGGTATTTCTTTGAACAGCTCCGTGGCCAAATGGAGCCGTCCTGGGCGGTATTCGGGCCTCTTGGAGGCATGCTGGCAGATATATTGAGCCATCTTCGGCTATATTGTGCCATCTCGGAGGCTACCGTTCGCTATCTGAGGCCATGCCATCTTGGGCCATCCTCGACGCTCTGACTACCCGCAGGGGGGAAGGGTGACTGGCCCCCCCCTTCCCGAATGGGAGGAAAACGGGGTTGAAAAACAAAGCGCTCTAAACCACCTGAGCCTAGGAGGGCCGCTGGGATGGAGCCCACGACTGTCTGAATACAGTGCTGACCCCCCTCTATCGACGAACGCTTGCTTGGGTCTTTCGAAAGTGATGGAGAGGTGTTATCCTCGACTGACGCTCGGTGCGCTCACGCTTTGATATTGCATACTGTTTTATCTGTTGCAATCCCCCGCGCTGGATGCGGAAAGCGAGGTGATGATTGGGAATGACTGGTCTCACTAATACGTCCGAGGCATCGAAACGCAGGCGCGCTGAGTAGGCGATAGGAGCATCGACGTACATTGATAGACAGTGGGTGCTGGTAAGGGTTTCGCTGGGAGCTGGCCGTTGGCGAGGGATATCGATGTGACAACAGAGCGACGTTGATTTGTTCAGTTGAAGGCCCTGTGGGATTGCTACGATGGCAGGAGTGGCACACAACGTTCAGCGCTTGACGTGCAGCTCGGAATACAGTTGCCGTGGACGAGCCGATCACTGTGTACGTGGGGGTGGCGTTTGCTGTTTACTACTTCGCGTTCGCGCGCTTTGCACTGTCCCATCCAGCTGGCCATCCACGCTCTGCGTGCTAACTTTCTGTATCGTCGCTTGACGCGAGGTTGTGGGCCGCCGGAATCAGAACAAGCAGCAGACGCCCACAGTCAGCAACACCAACGACCCGAAGTGGAACTACACGTTTGAGGTGACACTGCTCTCTCCCTGTATATTGACATACACATATGTTTGTAGTCTATGCCATGAGTGTATAGTACAAATGGATGTATGCATTTTTCTTTTTTTCTCCATATTAGTATTTTGATATACACATATGTTCATATTATTTCTAGATCTTCTATGCTTGGCCCCGTTGGCTTTTGCCGCCTTGCTCGAAGGGTCTAGGCTGCCTGCCCAAGGGAATCTACTGACCGCCCTCCCCTCTCCCTCGTCCATGAAACAAACAGTGGCGAAGCGTCCTGGCTTGCTTAGAGACCCCCGACCGAGGGTCTCATGTTCTCGAAGGATGTTCTTCTGGCCTGGAACAGTTGTATCGGCTGACACCTCCCCCCGCCCACTGGATAACCCAGGCTGTTGGCGAACACCTCCCCTCTTCCCTCTTCCCCAGGAGGGGGGGTGGATGGGCGGGGAGGGGTGCAGGCGCAGGTGCAGGTTTGTCGGGTGCCCCAGCCAGAGTGGCGGCGGCAGGGTTGGCGGTAGCGGCGGCGTTAGCCGCGGCGGGATTGGGAGCTGTGGCAGCAGAAGTGCGTGACGTCGGAATACAAGGAATGAAAAGCACCCCGACCTCCATCATCGGCGTTTACTGAACAGTCCTGGGTGTTTACTGAACAGTCCTGCCCTGTTCGATTCTTGCCTTCCGTGCTTATTATGCGGATGGTCCTCCCGCCCTCTAGAAACGTAAAATCTGAAGTTGCCAGCGTCTCAGTGCCCGGATGCTGGGTTCCCGAGGCGTAGGGGTCGCCTAAATTGGGCAGCCATGTCGCTCCGAGGGGCTGCTCGCAGTGCCCGCCACCAGGCAGCGTTTCGCCACGCCCCCGATTTGAGTGCTGCGCCTCCTGATCCTCATCTTCCCTCCTGACCTCCCTCTCCTCCTCCTCCTCCTCCTCCTCCTCCTCCTCCTCCTCCTTCTTCGCCACCTCCTCCTCCTCCCTCCTCCCTCCCAGGTTCGTCGACAGCGCTCCCCTCGATCGAGCTGCCCCGGGCGCACGTCCCGCCTCGGGGGTCCAGGGCCTGAGCGGAGGCGCACCGGAGGAGGTGCACAGCTCGGAGGGCGCCTGCTGTGCAGCACGCACCTGCACCGGGCAGCGAGCTGAAGGTTTACACATACATTAACATGTATATGCACACACTAGTTTTTTTGTGTTTCTTCTGTGTGTGTGTGTGTGTGTGTGTGTGTGTGTGTGTGTGTGGGTGTTTCCGATTTCGTGGACCGCTTTCGATTCGCTTTCTTCTCGAAGCATAGGCAGCACGGAGGCAGAACAGCGGACATCGGCATCATATAGCGAACATGGAAGAGGCTCTCCAGCCCTGGCCCGAGCCACTCCTGGCCGGGCCGAGACTGGGCCCCGGGGCCCGGTGCAGGCGCAGGTGTGCAGGTGGTGCCCTCGGAACGGTGGGGCGAGCGCAGCGTCGGCTCGTGTTTGATTTCGGCGGCCGGCCCAGGGGGAAGGTGAGAATAAAACGACGCGAAGATCGGGACAAAGTCGGATCGGCATAACTCGAAATCTCTGAGGATCGGCGGGTTTGGAGGATGTATTGGGCGCCGCGGCCGCTCCAGAGCGTTCCGGAACGTTCTGAGAGCGCTCTGGAACGCTCTGGAGCGATTTATCCCGATCCTAGCCCTGTTTTAGAGAAGGGGCGGGCCTTGCCAGAAGGCTCGGAAGCTCCCCAGTCTTCTGATAAGTTTGCTAAGCTTTCCCCGAAGACGCAGAAAACCTCGCCGAAGGCCAAATGGGCTTCTAAGAAGCCCCGCCGCCTTTGAGAGTGTCTTCTCCTTTTTTCTCCCCCCCGCTCGCCGCCGATGATTGCAGCGTTGTGTCAGGTGAAGGACTGCGCTGGCGAGGAGGACCTCAAGTTCACTATCTATGACAGCGACGTGGGGTCACGCGACGACGTTGTGGGTGTCGGCACCCTGCAGGCCCACCAGTATTTCCCTGAGGCAGCCTGGTGCGCATTCGGCCATCTTGCCCTGAGGAGGAGGATGAGGAGAAGGGGGAGGATGTGAAGACAGAGACCATTATGAACTCAGTGCAATCCGCTGGTGCTGCAATCTACCCTCGCATCCCAAGTCTTTGCCTCATTCGTCATCAGAAGTTGTTCATGCCACTACGTCGACACCTGCGGGAAGCGTGAGGGTCCCATGGAACTGGATGGTTAGGACTTGATGTGTTTCCAAACGCGCGACAGCGATCATATTACCGTTCGGCCGCTTAATGCAGAATCAACACGACATAAAAATGACATGTGATGACACAAGCTTCGAGACACCCGTGCGCAGCGCCAGGGCGAGAACCCGATTTTCAAAAGGAGCCTCCCCTCATCCGTGCAACTGCTTGGACATTCAAGCTACGCGCACGAAGTGCAGAACACGAGGACGTCAGAGGCGAGAGTCACACTGCTTCTGAAGTCGTTTACGACGAGCGCGCTCGCAGGTGAGAGCCACACTTCGAGAACAGTAACTGCCCTGCGACTGTGCGCAGCGCTCAGGCGAGAGCCACGTTTGCAAAACGAGCCGCCCTCCAGTGGTGTAGCTGCCGAGATCTTAGCGACTGGCGCGCTCGTCGCTATATGTGATGATGAGATCTCTGAGGCGAGTCGCCCAGGCCGCCCTGCCTTCACGTCCAGTGGTCTGGCGAGCAGGACTTTTTTTGGTAAGGATGAGGGATGGAAGAGGATAACGAGGATGAGGACGAGTCGGACGGGGCTAGGACGAGGATCAATCCGTCCCACGGCGTTCCGGAACGCTCTCGGAGCGTTCCGAGACGCTCTGAGAAGGCCGCGGCGCCCGAATTATCCTCCAGAACCGCCGGATCTCAGAGATTGTCGATTTATTTTCACCCGATTTTATCTTCGTCCTGGCTTCGACTTAATGAGGGGAAGGCGGGATGGAATGAGCAGTATCTACCTCGGAGTCTAGGGAGGGATCCGCGGCAGCCTGGAGGAACGACAGGGCGAGTGCAGAGGAGTGGGCTGTCTCATTGGGATGTGGCAGGGCGTCTTGTAGGGAGGGTCACCTGTTTTGCATTGCACATGCTCAGTTTTCCTGTGCTCTCCACATCGTCATCATGACCTCATTGATATCGCTCACTCGGTGCATATATGTGTATTCCTATACGCACCTCTCCGAGGGAGTAGAGCTCAAAGGCGATTCATTGAAGCCAAGTTTCTTGTCTTGGCCGTTTCGCTCGAGACATTGTTAACATTCTGAAACATTCTGAAATCAGGACGCACCCCTCACGCAGATCGCGATGTCAGGGTTCAAAAGCACGCAGTCTTTTTCACAACTTAGACAATTATATAACAACATTATGGAAAATCCTCATTTGAGCCCGATTCTTTGAAAGTTGCAGTTTCGCTTAAGACATCCTCCAAAAACAGAGCCCCTTGTTAAACGCGATTCTCAGAAAACGACAGTTTCGCCTGAGACACCCTTTCAACATCGAGCCTCGACGTACAGCACACACACACACACGCACATGATTTACACAACACACGACACAAAAACACAAAGGCACAAAACACACAGAACACACAATATTTATAACACACATAACACACAAGCACTTTTATTTTAAGTGGGCGACGCAGAGGGTCTTCAGGCGCGAGCAGCAGATGAAAGTGCCAATTGCGATCAAGCATTGTCGACGGCGCAGTGTACAAACCGTTGTAAACAGTCAAGTGCAGCAATGGACAAAGAACGCACACACACATGCACGCGACACACCCAGCACAAGCAAGGCACAGCGCTCACACACGACACATCTGACACACACACACATACCACGCAGACCGCACACGACCAACACATAGTTCACACACACACCACACAACACACCCATACAATATTCAACACACATAATGTAAACTTTACACAACACAAACACACGCACGTATCCTGCACATGTGCTTGTATGAAACTGGACACGCACGTGCCACTTGCATGTATGTATGCATTTACATATGTTTATTCGTACACGTCAGCCAGCGTGGACCCCACACAGAGTGTTTCCAACAGTAGGTGGTGTGTAAACTATGTGGAACAACCTATGTTGTGCAATGCATCTGGTGTAATCTATGTTGTTCAATCTATGTTATGCAATCTAGGTCGTCCAATATCTACTTGCCTTCGGCCCATCTCGCCGTCGTGCCTTGAATTCTCAGGGATGCTTCTTGGGGCTTCTCTGGAGCGCTCTAGGGGGCCTCTTGGGGGTAGTTTTTGGGGCCTGCTGGGGGCCTTTTGAGGGCTTCTTGGGAGCCTCTTGGGGGCCTCTCGGGGCTTCCTGGGGGCCTCTTGAGGGCCTCTTGGGGCCTCTTTGGGAAAGCGTGCCTCTGGGTGCCCTGGTCATTGAAAACGGGAAAAGTGCTCGCAGAGCCCCCCCTCCACCTCCCCTTCAAAAGGGGGGGTGAGATTTTCGGAAGGGGCGGGGGTTTGGACCCTCCCTCCCTTTGAAAGGGGGGGGGGTGGTCCAGACCCCCCCCCTGGTGCGCTGCTGGAAACGGGGGGGGAGTAGGGTGTAGGGAGTGGTGAGTAGTGAGTAGTGGCAGTGGGTAGTGGGTAGTGATTAGCAAGTACTGGGCATTGAGTAGTGAGTAGTGAGTAGTGAGTAGTGAGTACTGAGTAGGGAGTGGGGAGTGGGGAGTTGTGAGTCGTGAGTTGTGTGTAATGGGTAGTGAGAATTGAGTAGTGAGCACTGTGTAGTGAGTACTGAGTAGTGAATCGGGAATAGTGAGCAGTGAGTGGTGCGTAGTAGTGATTAGTGGGTAGTGAGTAGTGAGTAATGAGTAGTGAATAGGGAGTGCCGAGTAATGAGTAGGGAGTAGTGAGTAGTGAGTACGGCGTAATGAGTAGTGAGTAGCGAAAAGTCCGTATTGAGCAGTGGGTGGTGCATAGCAAGTAGTGAGTAGTGAGTCGTGAGCACTGAAAAGAGATGGGTGAGCAGTGATCGGTGAGTAGTGGGCAATGAGTACTGAATAGTGAGTAGTGAGTGAGCAGCAAGGGGTACTGAGTACTGAGTACTGAGTAGTGAGTATTGAGTAGTGAGTAGTGAGTAGTGGTGAGTGGGTAATAGGTTGTGAGTAGTAGGGAGTAGGGAGTAGTGAGTACTGTGTAGTGCGTAGTGAGTAGTAAGTCGAGATTACGAGTCGTGAGTAGTGAGTTGCGAGTAGTGAGTCGTGATTTTTGAGTTGCGAGTAGTCAGAAGGGAGTTGCGAATTGTGCGTAGAGAGTAGTGACTTGTGAGCAGTGAGTAGGGAGTAGCGAGTATGGAGTAGTGAGTTGCGAGTAGTGAGTAGTGAGTAGTGAGTAGTGAACAGTGAGTAGCGAGTAATGAACCGTGAGTAGCGAGTAAGGATTAGGGAGTAGTGAGTCGTGAGTAGTGAGTAGTGCGTAGTGGGTAGTGTGTAATGATTAGTGAGTGGCGATTAGTGGGTAGCGAGTAGTGAGTGGTGAGTAGTGAGTAGTGTGTAGTGGTCGGGTTAGGATTAGGGTTTGGTGTGAGGGTAGGACTTAACGATGAGGGTCAGGGGTGGTGAAGGTCAGGTTCTGGTGGAGTGCCAGTGTGCGACGTGGCGAAAGGGGGGGAGGGGGGGTCGCAGTTTGAGTCCAAGGGAGGAAGGGAGGAGTGGGGGGGTCAGGACCCCCTCCGCCCGTTTTCGAGGGGGGAGGGGGGTCGTCGACGACGGACCGGGAAAGGAGGGGGGGCTTCCCTGACGACGGACCGGGAAAGGGGGGTGGGGTTCCCGATGACGGACCGGGGAAAGGGGGGGGCTTCCGACCCCCCCCCTCTTTGGGGCATCCATCGGCGCGCCCTCCCTGTTTGGGCCTCCTGGTGGCCTCTCGGGGCCATGGGTTCGACATGTCCTTTCGGGTCCTCCGTCTGGGCCCCTTTTTGGAGCCGTCCTGGGGGCCTCTTGGGCCGTTTTCGGGCCCTCGGAGGGTGGTCTTGGGGTGGGCCCCTGTTGGAGGCCTCTTGGGCCGTCTTGGGGCGATCGTGGGGGCCTTTTAGGCCGCATTGAAGCGTCGGGAAGCCGAAAACAGGCATTCACGCTAAATTTCTTTGCTTCTTGTGCCGTCTCGTCCCGGGCGTCTTGGAATAATCTTTGGGCGATCGGGGCCCTCTTAGACCACCTTGGCGGCCTCTCGGGCCCCTCTTGGCCCGTCTTGGGGCCCTCCTGGGACCAGAAACAGTCATGCGGGAAGGCGCGGGGCGCCCCCCCAGAAGATCTGGTAATTTCGGGTCCCGGCCACTTCAGGGATTAGGCAAAGGACGTGGGGACACTCCAAGTCGTGCCCCACGGGCACGGTGGAGGAGATGCGGTGACATCTATGTGGTGCACTCTATGTGGTGCACTCTAGGTGGTGCAAATTATTTGGTGAGCCAATTTTGCGGTGCATTCGACGTTGTACAATCTAAATAGCGCAATACACGTTATGCAATCTACGTGGTGCAATCTAATATCTTTGGTGCAATCTATGTAGGGAACCCTACATGGTGCGATCTATGTCGTGCAATCTATGTGGTGCGCAATTTATGCGGTGCCATCGACGTGGTGCAATATGAGGTGTTTCCCAATCGGTGCTTGCACTGAAGGGGTCCTAGCGGAAGTTGAAAGATTTGGCGAAAGTTTCCCGCCGATTTTGGTAGCAGGCTGGGCTCCCAGGTTCCCGGTTCCAGGTTCCCGGGTCCGTGGTTATTGGTTCGGGGGCCGATTTCGGTGGATTCTGGGTTCCTTGGCTCCGGGGGTTCCAGTCGATTTCCTTATGGATCTCTTTATCGATCCTACGATTCATTGTCGATCTTATGATCGATTTCCCTATTCATCTCACTTAATCGATCTCACAATCGATCTCATCAGACCATCCACTGATTGGGGCTTTTCTCTGGTGTAATGTAATCTATGCTGTGTTGTTATCCCTGAGGTGCAATGCAAGCTATGTGG